TTGGTGGTGGGGCTGCACCTGCTGGACACGCCCACTCTCAGGTGACAGCTGGAGCGATGCTGGCCTCTGGGGCCCAGAAGACCAGTGTGGGGTTCTGGGAGAAGCCCGCGCCTCTTTCCTGCCGTGCGCCCCCCGCGCCCCCCCACCCGGCCATGATGGCGGCCCTTAGATAGTCAGGCCGCTACTGCCCACCTAACTCCACACGTAGGCCCGCCACCCCCACCTGACAGACAGGGACACTGAGGCCTGCAAGGACGCCCCTGCTGCCCTGTACGCTGCCCTCTGCTCAGACCTGAAGCCCCGGCAGGTGGCAGGCAGGACAATAAAACACAGCCCCACGGGGGGTAGAGGGGCAACGAGGGGATAAGGACACACGTGTGATCCCTTCACCGATAAAGAACAAGAACACGGCCTCACAGCGCCCCCGGTGCTCTGTCACAGAGCAGGACTCGCGGGGGCACACAGCACAGGGGGCACACAGCACAGGGGGGACACAGCACAGGGGGGACACAGCACACGGGGGGACACAGCACAGGGGGCACACAGCACAGGGGGGACACAGCACAGGGGGGACACAGCACAGGGGGCACACAGCACACGGGGGGACACAGCACGCGGGGGACACAGCACACGGGGGACACAGCATGCGGGCACACAGCACACGGGGGGACACAGCACACGGGGGACACAGCACGCGGGGGCACAGCACACGGGGGGACACAGGGGGGCACACAGCACACGGGGGACATAGCACACGGGGACACACAGCACACGGGGGCACACAGCACACGGGGCACACAGCACATGGGGGACACAGCACGCGGGGGACACACAGCACCCCTCGGGAGAACTGCGCCACCAGCACTGCCACCGCGGGCTCTGGGATGGGCATCCACACGTTGCCAACAAGCGCATGTGCTGCTCTGGGCGTCCCCGAGGCTGGAGAGGGCTGAGCATCTGAGTGACCTCACAGCTCCCGTTCGGGGGGGGGGGGGGGGCACGGACGCTGGAGCCATTAGGTGAGGCTTCAGACCTCGGCCCTGACTTCCCGTCAGCTCGCTGCTCTGCCAAGCTCGCGCCCAGCGCCCAGCGCCCAGCGGGGACAGTGATGACGGCGATGCCCGCGCTCTCCTCTGCAGCTCGCCCTCCCTGCGGACGCCGCTCTGCCCGGCTCTGCCCCGCCCGCAGGGATCCATGAAGCCTGGGCAGTGAGCGAGCGCCCGCTGAGTCGCTCCCCAGACCTCAGGCCTCCCGCTGCCCACAGCCGGGCACTGCTGTGCGTCTGGAGGAAGCCTGGGGAGGGCGGGGTGGGGGGGAGCAGACCCGGCAGGGGGGAGGGAGGGGCCGGTCCCTTCGGAGTTGAGGACAGAGCGGAGCCTGCGGCCCGCCTCGCCTGCCCTGACTCAGCGCTGCCCAGCATCCTTCCCAGAACTTCCCAGCCCGCTCTGTGCCAGGCACCTGCTGGCAGCAGGACTGGCCCGGCACAGGCTGAGCCCGGCTTTCCGGAAGCCTGGCTCTCCAGCAGCTCACGCAGACAGCAGGGAGGTCCTACGAGGGTGGCCTCAGCGCTGCGGGCACTCAGCCTTCGTCAGCGTCGCCGCCGGCTAGGAGTGAACACGGACACCCCAGGCCCCGGGCTCTGGCCCAGGGGGGCCGTCACCCAGCCCGTGGAGGCCCCCGTCCATCTGGGCAATTCTTCCTCAAAGACGGAAAACACAAAGTCATCCTGGGCCATCACTGACACCTCCCGCTGGTGGCCAGGAATGCCCCCTCCCACACACCTTCTCCAGGCCGCGTCAGTCCAGAGGAGACAGTCCCTCATGCTTTGCATGAAGGAAAGCCACCCCGGAGTTTAAAAGACGGCCTTCAAGCAGGTACATGGAAATGGGAGAGTGCAGAGGGCATCTGAAAACATGTTTTAAATTGGTTTCACAGAGGACGGGAGAGGGAGAGGGAGAGATAGAAACATCAGTGATGAGAGAGAATCGCTGATGGGCTGCCTCCCTACACGCCCCAGCTCAGGAAAGAGCCCACAACCCCGGCCTGTGCCCTGACCAGGAATCAAACCCTGACCTCCTGGTTCGTAGGACGATGCTCAACCACGGAGCCACGCCGGCCGGGCAGCCAATGGCATTTTAATGTGAAACTACTGCACCTACATCAGATTTATTTTCTACTCAACTCAGGTAGTTACTAATGACTCAGACACAAAAATGATCCAGCGTCAGGAGCAGCTGAAAGCACTTCCCAACGCTTCTCGGAGCGACAAGGACGAGTGTTTCTGGTCCCGGGGCACTTCCCCTGCAGCCGCAAACAAGCAGCTCAGTGTTCCGCCGCACACAGAGCTGGGGTTCAGTCAAGAATGCAGTTGGGATTGTATGTGCATCTCAACACAAAAGCAAAAACAGTCCTATCGCAGGCCACCGCCTCCCCCAGACACATCCTCCCACCGCTCACATTGAACACGTCAACCATGCCAGGCCCGGAACCTTCCCAGGCAGCCTGGCAGGGTGCTGACTTGTGCCGAAATATGGTAAATTAGGTAGGAGGGGGAGCATAAAACTCAACTCACAATGCCGGGCAAAGGGCTGAGCTGTGGTGTAAAGAATGAAAAGCTGGCTGGGGTGACCTAACATACCCCACGCCTCAAAACAATCAAGACATTTAAGTCCAAAGACAGATCTCAAATAAGGGACTGCCCAGCCTCGGGCTGCACACGGGGCACCGCTGCCCGCAAATGCCACGCAGGACACAGAGATGCGGGGTGCAGATGCGTCCGGAGCCCAGGGGTCAGCGACAAGAATTAGACAGTATGACGAGATGACAGGGAGGAAAAGGCAGGAAAAGGCGAGGATCAGAACGAACACCACCCCCTCCGACCCCTGAGCACACATCTTGGGGCCCCGTCGCCAGGGCTGGTAACTCACCACCCCTACCCGTGCCGGGTCAGGCCCGGAGCTGGCCTTGCAGGGGCAGCGCCCGCCGCAGAGGGAAACGTAGGGACTCCATCCTCAGCTCTGGGCACACGCTCAACGACGGGGCAGCATCCTTCTCCACTTTTACAGACGCCCTGAATGACACAGGCAGGGCCCGGCATTACCCAGCGGAGGACACCGGCCCCACCATCCCTTCTCCCTCCTACAGCAGAGCCCGGGAGGCGGGCGGCCCTGGCCGCGAGGCTCTTCCAGCCCTGCCAGGACCGAGGCGCCGGCCCAGACCCCTGACAAAGCGTTTCTGAGACACCAGCGTTACCTGACCTGGGAGAATATCCCTTGGCCCTGCCATTTGTCACTGAACATGCAGTGCTGCCCCCCCACCCATGACCTTTGACAAGCAGACTTCGTTTTTCCTTTACTCGGGACAGAAGTCACACAGACAGAAGCGGTTCCCGTGCAGTGGCTGCCTGCCACCTTCCCTGGCAACCTACAGTGACAGCAGGCAGGGCGAGCCTCCTGGGGGCTGAGGCCTGGGGGCTGAGGCCTGGGGGGCTGAGGCCTGGGGGGCTGAGGTCTGGGGGTCTGAGGCCTGGGGGGTGAGGCCTGGGGGGTGAGGCCTGGGGGGCTGAGGCCTGGGGGTGCTGAGGCCTGGGGGGCTGAGGTCTGGGGGTCTGGTGCCTGGGGGGTGAGGCCTGGGGGGCTGAGGTCTGGGGGTCTGAGGCCTGGGGGGCTGAGGCCTGGGGGGCTGAGGCCTTGTGGGGGCTGAGGCCTGGGGGGCTGAGGCCTTGTGGGGGCTGAGGCCTGGGGGGCTGGGTAAGAGGGACCGCAGAAGGGAGCCAAGGGCAGTGAGGCCCCAAACCACACTCAGCGCCAGAAGCCAGGGTCCCGTGCAGCCGCCACCACCCCTCAGTAGGGCTATGTGGCAGGAGGGCAGTGCTGCTGCTCCAGGCAGGCAAGGGCCAGAAACCAGGGGCCCAAGGCAGGGCCCCAGGCACCCTGAGCCCCAAACCAACACACACTGGGAGGACTCTTCCCTCCAAAGGCCTGGAGCCCTCAGGTCCCTGAGCTCGCGGCCCACAGCCTCCAGCGCCTGTCCTCCTGAGGGACCTGCTGCCGCCCCACTCGGGGCACCAGGAGGGCACCGATTTAAGGAAACGCCACCCGGAGGGGGGGCGGGGGCTGGGAAGTGGTTCCCCTGGGAGGAGCGGTGAGTCCCCTGGGTCCAGCAGCGACATTCGACCTCGGATGTCCAAGGCGCCCTTTGGTCACCGGTGACCCCACCTGAGCCACCACCCCCCAACCAAGACCTGGGCGCCTGGGGGCCCTCCCGCTTCGCGGGCCCCGGACACAGAGGGTGCCACTAGGACCCTGCGCCCGGATGCTCTGGCCTCAGCAGACACGAGCCCAGGCGGGAGGGTGGTGGGGACACAGGGCCCGCAGTGCGACTGGCGCAGCCGCTGAGGCTCGGGGCGCGCCGCCCAGACCGGACTGACCCCGCGCCGAGGAGGGACGCCGCGCCGGGAGATGGGGGAGCGCGCGGGTGGGCGCCGGGCACGGGTGGGGGCGCCGCTGGCCGAGGTGTGGACCGGCCCCGGCTCTGGAAGGCAGGGCCAAGACAGTGGATGGAAACCCGCTCTGGACACAGGGCCCGGGGAGAGGAAACGGGGTTCCCTCCAGAACCCGGGGGAAGTGGACGGGTCTGCCCCGGGATGCGGAGAAAGGTCGAGAAGTACCTCCCAAGCCCAGAATGGGGGGAGGGGGTGGGGAATGAGGAGTCACGGGTGCAGGACTCAGGAGCAGGGGTCCGCTGCGGTCTGGGGCGGGGGGGCGGCGCGACGTGCAAGCGGACACGGATGGCGTGGGAAAGGGGCCGCCCTGGGCGCGGGCGGGGGCGCACCCAGGCCGAGGGTGAGCGCGGGCGGGTCCGTCGCGCACGGGGCTGGGCGCCCTTCCTGGACACAGCCGCTCGCTGGGCTGGAACCCGGACCCACCGCGGGGGAGGGCGACGTCAGTGCTGGGCGGAGTGCGGGAGGTCTGCGCGGGCGGCGGGACGGGGCCGCTCACCTTGGGTTTGTACAGCCACTTTCGGAACCTGTGCATCATCGCCGCGCCGGCCCGGCCCGCCCGGCGGCCCTCCCTCCACGGCGAGGCGCCCGGGCCCGGCGGCGGCGGCGGTCCCAGGGCGCCGGGGGGCGCCGGGCAGGTGCGCAGCCGGGAGATGCTCCGCCAGCAGCGCGCGGCGCGGACCCGCAGACCGCGGCGGGCGACCGGCTGACGCGGCTCGGGGCGCCAGCGCCTCGCCGCTCACTGACACCCGCGCCTCCGCCGGCCCCCGCCGCCCGCGCCGCACATGCGCCGAGGCCCGTGAGCCCCCTGCCCGCCGCCCGCGGTCCAGGCCGCCCAATCCGCAAGCCGCGCCGCGCCCCGCCCGAGGCGCGCTCCCCGCCCGGGGGCAGCCCGGGCGTCTAGCGGGGCCTGGAAACTACAAGTCCCGTCGGGCATCGCAGGGGCGGGGCCCTGTCCTCTGCCGTGCCGCGGGCGCTAGGCATTCTGGGGGTTGTAGTCTTCTCGCCACGGCGCCGGAGCGTGATGCTGGTTGCTAGGCGACGACACCCAACCGGCACGCCCTTCCTCCGCCCACGACAGACGCTCGGGCGCTTGCAGAATCCCATCGGAGCAGGAGCGAAGTGGGGCAGCCACCGAAACTGCGGGTCCCTTCGCGCCCTCTGTACCGGGCAGCCCCGGTGGCGGCGGGTGGAGGCGAGAAAGAAGGTGCGAGAGCGCCGTGGAGCCGCCCGCAGGCAGGTACCGAGGCGGAGAGGCGGGGCCGTAGTGGAGGGGCGAGGCCGTTCCAGCACCCGCACCGCCCCACCACCTGCGGGCAGTTCCCCCGTCCGTGCTTCCCGCCTCCTTGCTTTCGGTCACCACCTTTTTGGACTTCCCGGCTCCTTGACTAAAGTTAACGGCGCCCTTTTTTTTTAATCGCCCCAATAAACAGGACTTACCAGGTGTACCGGTTAATAGTGCGGATTTTGTAATCAAAGAAAACACGATAATTTCATGAGAAATATCAAAAGTGCTTTATGCAAAGTAATGTCCATCGCTAGCTACACATTTCCCCCATCTTTCAGGTAATTTGTGGATACCGTCCCGATAGAAATTTTCTTGTTTTGAGGCAAACCATTCAGAGACCAAATTTTCCACGTCTTCGTACGTGTTGAAGTGCTGCTCAGAAAGTGCGTGTGCCATCGATCGGAACAAGTGGTCATCTGCGGGAGCAAGGTCTGGTGAACACGGCGGGTGGGTTCATACTTCCCAGGCAAGATCTGTTAACGTGTCTTTATCTGGTTTTGAAGTGTGTGGTGGTGCGTCATCATGAAGCAAAATTCCTTTGCCGTGTCTTCTGGCCCATTCTGGTCATTTCACGATCAAAGTGTGGCTCAAATTGATTATTTGTTGTCAATAGCAATCAGTATTAATGATTTCACCTGGTTTTAGAAGCTCATAATACACCTTTATGATCCCACCAAACACAGAGAATTGCCTTCTTTCCGAAGCGATTTGGCCTTACAGCCGATATTGATGGTTGACCTGGATCAACCGTGATTTTGTGCATTTGGGATTCTCAAAATAAATCCACTTTTCATCACCAGTCACAATTCGATGCAAAAAAGACTTTCTTTCGTGCCGTTGAAACGACATTTTACTGATGACTTTTCAGTTTTCCATTTGTCTTTCGTTCAGTTGATGTGGCACCCATTTTCCTTCCTTTAAAATCTTTCCCATTGCTTGTAAACGATCAGAAATTGTTTGCTGAGCAACGGTTAATCTTTCTGCAAGATGTTTTTGAATTTGACCTGCATCTTCATCCAGTAATGCTTGTTATTGTTGGTCTTCAAACTTTTTGGTTGACCTGGACGTTCTTTGTCTTTCTCATCGAAATCATCACGTTTAAAGCGTTTAAACCAGCGATCACAGGTATCTTGAGATGGAGCATGTTCACCATAAGCTTCCCGAAGTATACGATCACTTTCAGCAGCACTTTTCTTCAAAATAAAGTAACGAATTAAAACTTCCCACAAATGCTCTTTTTTTTGGCACAAAATTCGACATTTTTAAGCATAAAAATACCTATGATGTTAACACCTTCAGAAAATTTGACATATGAAGTTTTGAAGCTTGCTGTCAATACCACAAAATAGCATACATATCAAATCACATATATATCAACATATGTGTAACTAGTGAAAAAAATCCGCACTATTAACTGGTGCACCTGGTAAAGGAAGAAAAGGATAATTCCCCTGTATTCACTAGCCCCCCCCCCCACAATATTCACTATTTCCCCTCCCAACGGTGCCCCAATTTGGACCCATCAAAAGTCACCAAAATCTGAGAACCTATCATGTGCTGAGCAGACGCTAAAAACAGGTATGGGGGCTCGCTTTAAATTCCCACCGTCAGCTGGGGAAACTGAGGCACGGAGAGGTTGCCACACTCTGGCCGGGAGAGGGTATCCAGGGCGCTGCCTCCCCAAAGCCCGGGCTTTCCCTGCCCCCACCCAGCGCCCCCTCCGGCTGCTCTGAAAGGGGCTGGTTTAGGAGCCGGAGAGGGGAGTGGCGCCTGCCCGGGAGAGAATGTGCCCTCCGCTGCTCCTGTTGCCCTGGCACAGGGTCGGGGTGCCCGGATGGTGCCGGCCCCCCGGCCCCTCTGTTCCGCTGAAGTCAGTGCCGGCCTCCCAAGTACACTGAAAGGTTTCGGGTTCGATTCGTGGTCAGGGTGCGTGCCGGCTGGACCTCTGGTTGGGGTGAGTACAGGAGGCGACAGATCTGTCCCCTCCTCTTCCTCTCTGTGTACTGAAGGTCACCAACGTCCGTTTCTGAGAACCTGCCTGACTCCCCCTCTGGCCTCCAGCTGCCACCCAGCCGCGGCTCCCCTAAGCGTACCACCCGCTGGAGTTGCCTCCTCTCTGGCTCCGTCAGCCTCTCCTCTCCTGAACCCACCACTCCAACCAGAGTCCCACCAGCCCCTCCTCCGAGGCCGTCCCTCAGTCACCCCTGACCTCGGTGCTCTAAGTCCGGCGACCAGAGCTCAGCCGGGCAGCAGGTGGCCCGCTGAGTGAGTGCTCCCCTCCCAGACACATGCTCCTGGCCGGATCACCCATCATCACAGTCTCAGCCGCTCCCTGCGGCTCTTCTGTCTCCTCGGCTGAGCCTCCTCTGGCTCTCCCACCTTCTCACACGAGAGCCTCCAGACTTAGTGCTGGGAAGCATCCCCATCATTTCGGGCGCCTTCCTGCGTCATATTTCGCAAACAACCATTTCCCCACCTGCCCACACTCCCGCCTGCAGCCTGAGCCTGGCCCCGGGAGCCAAGCCCCTCGGCCTGCTCTTTGCCAGTTAGTGTGTGACAGATCCCCTGAAACCCAGCGTGTCCCACTGCGCTCTCCGTCTGCCCCCTAAAACCTGCTCCTCCCCCAGACACCTTGTCCGGGTGAGACTCGGGCAGACACGTGGTGGACTGTGCCCTGTGGGTCTGTCGGGGACTGACTCCAAGGCGGGGTGGTTGCTGCTGCTCAGACTCTCCGCCCAGTTTGAAGCTGCCGGGGGTGAAGGCCGACCTCAGGGCAGTGGGCGTGTCCCTTAGGACTGGTTTCGGCTGCAGGGAAGAAAAATGCAGCATCATTGGGGCCTAAATAAGATTATTCATGTTTCCATAAAGGAGACCCAGAGGGAGGCGATCCTGGGAGGTACGGCAGCTCCCAGGCCTCCTCAGGGACCTGGGCCCTTCCAGCGTGCTCTCCTGCTGTCCTTACATGTTGCCTCCCAGTGCAGAATGGCTGCCTAAGCTCCTGCCATCACCTCCTGGGTCCAGGCAGCAGGAGGGAAAGAAGAGAAGGGCATGCCCCTCCCTTACGCAGAGACGTTCCCTACATCTCAGACCCTGTCGCTTCTTCTCTCGCCGCTGCCAGGGCGTCTGGAAAGGGCTCAACGAGAAACCCGGGTTTTGTTTCCTTGGGAGGAAAGGGAGAGCGTAGCTTGAAAAACAACCAGCAAAACAGCCGCATGGGCCTGTGCTTGAAGCACAAGCCGTCAGAGCATGACTTGGCAGCAGCCCCTGGGAGACGCGCTTTCATCAGAATTAAAAGCAGGAACAGAATCTGTTTTAATTAAGGCGCATTTGGGATCCCTGCGAACGAAGCGTCTCTGGTGCGTGAGGGTGCTGCACTCGTCCGTGGCGAGTAAATGTCACTCTCGTTTCTGTCTGTGACGGATTTGCTAAGAAAAGGGAAGTGCCGTCGGCCCAGCCCACCCCGGAGTGTCCTTGCATCTGAGGTAGTCACGTCCTGATTCGTGAAGTGAAAAGTCGATACCAAAAAAGGCCGTCAGCGTGGGAACGAAGTCCCACTGCCCACATGGCCGGTCTCACACCATGAAAATAAAGCTGAGCCCTGGCCCGTGTGGCTTGGCCCGCTGGCACGTCATCCCCGACGCTAAGAGGTTTCGGGTTCGATTCCCGGCCAGGGCACACCCGGTTGGACCTGTGGTCGGGGTGCGTACAGGAGGCAGCGGACCGGTGCTTGTCTCCCTCCCTCTGAAATCAGTGGACACGTCCTGGGGTGAGGATTACAAAAACATAAAGTAAGTAAAGCCACGTGCTGAAGGCCGGCAGTGTTGACACCTATTTCCAACCCAAAGGTGTATTTTTTGTAACCCTCACCAGAGGATCTCTCTCCACTGATTTTTAGGGAGAGTGGAAGGGAGAGGGAAAGGCAGAGAGGAACATCGATGTGAGAGAAACACATCGATTGGTTGCCTCCTGCACGCACCCCCCACCAGGGCCAAGGCCGGGGAGGAGCCTGCAACCGAGGTACGTGCCCTTGACCGGAATCGAACCCGGGACCCTTCATTCTGCAGGCCGACGCGCTCTCCACTGAGCCACACCGGCCAGGGCAAGATGTGAGTATTCTAAGTTCATAGGCTAACCTCCGTGGGAATACACAACTCGAGAGCCTCTTTTGCGACGTGCACCCTCCTGGCATGGCTGCTCCGGGCCGGCAGTGCAGAAGGGACGGTTCAAGCCCAGCTGAGCTGCTCCAGGGCCACCCTCCTCCCCACCACCCTCCACAGACCCCCTCTGCACCCTCCCCTGCGCTCATCGTCCATCCAGGCCCTCTGCACTGGGGAGGGCGGCTGGTTCTCTGGCTGCTCCCTGACTGGACCTCCCTCTCTCCAGCGGTCAGGCTCCAGGACGGGAGGGGACGCAGGGAAGCCTTGGGCCCAGAGCAGCTCCCACTGCGCACACGCGGGCCACCACTGTCCCCACCT